GCTCTGTGAAGGAGCAGTCCTATTAAAACCAGACCTCAGTATGCATGAATTCAGATTTGGCTTTTCATTTTGTCTTTCTGGGCACCTTCTCAATCTCATCAATGCATTCAGCACTAGAAATTATAATGTGAAACAGCAAGACCATTGTAGTTCAGCCAAGCAGGGTTATTATAGTTAACTAAAACCATAAAACAATTTTTGGTACTTGAAATAAAATAAACTTTGAAAAAAATAGTAAACAAGAATGATTACAGCTTGCTGCCATGGCAGCTTTTCACATTTTTATTTAGTTTACCTTTATGTACTAAAATAACTAAAACTAAAACTGAAATAAAATTAACGAAAGCTATGTAGACATATATATATATCAATTAAAAATGACAAAAACACTAAACAAAATGACTAATATTTAAACTAAAATTGAAATAAAAACGGAAGAATAAAATAAACTTTGAAAAAAATAGTAAACAAGAATGATTACAGCTTGCTGCCATGGCAGCTTTTCACATTTTTATTTAGTTTACCTTTATGTACTAAAATAACTAAAACTAAAACTGAAATAAAATTAACGAAAGCTATGTAGACATTGATATATATATATATATATATATATATCAATTAAAAATGACAAAAACACTAAACAAAATGACTAATATTTAAACTAAAATTGAAATAAAAACGGAAAATATGACAATAAAAATTAATTCAAAATATTACAAAAAACTCAACGACACTAAAATAAGATGCAGCTAAGATGCATGACTATAAGAACTACTGCAGGTTATGGACTAAACATAAGAAGATTATGATTTACATTTTGTAAAGTGTAAATATGATTGTTTTGAGAGTTTGCAGAAGCCCTGGATGATTATGATTTACTGACAGCAGTTGCACGAGGCCTCGATAACCCACAATGAGCATTTCACTAGAAGCTGGAGTAGACTGGAAAAGCTGATTGAAAACATTATTTTTGCAAATCTGTTTGGTGATGCTTACGGTGCAGAAGAAACACAGCTGTCAAGAATTGTGAAAGAGTAAAACAAAAAACAAACTCATGTTCTCAGCAAAGTAATTCTATTTATTGTTCAAAGGAAGTCTGTGGAGAATTACAGCAGTACACACTTGACTGAACAGCTGCCTTTATCACATAACACAGTACAGACAAGAATGAGGTCAAAACTTATATGAATAGTGAAATTAGTAAAAAATCACTATGGCTCCCACGTGGTGTGTATGGCTACTTCTTGTGGTTACAGAAGGCCTGAAAATTAAAACGAAAGGGAGTTCACTCCTTTTTCTCTGATCAAATTATAAATGTATAAACACCCACTCAATATCAGTAAGAGAAGGATAACAGAGGGAAGTTGCTAACAGGCACACACATTTGGACAGATCTGGGAGAAGAGGAGAAAACAGGCTGCAGTAAGACTCAGAAATGTGACAACTTAATATGCAGCGGAAGAGACTATTGAGAAAAAAAAAAAAAGAATAGTGCTATATTGTCATTTGGGTTGTTGAAAAAAGGAATACAAACTAAACTGAGAACTAGTCTAGTTTGTATATTTCACAATTTTGTCATTATCTTCCTATAGGAAATGTATGGAAAACCAGTTAGAAATATTTCCCTATATATAATTGCATCCGAGGTTTATTTGTTTAAACAGCCTGTTCAGGAAGCGTTTATAATTGATTCTATGTCTATATATAAATATATTTCTGTATATATATATAATTTTTTTTTTTCTGTATATTGTTTTTAAAAATAAATCTATTTAAACCCAGTTGGGGTGTTGTTCTGCATTTGATTTCCTTTCCAGTTATGTCACCAAAGCTCTCCATGTATTAAATTCGAAAACTACTAATTTGTCCCGGCTTGATGTTTGCCTATCAGGCAGACCAGTATCATTCCCTTTAAAAGAGCCAAATCAAACCCAGTATCAATGGTAAATTTAGCCGCAACAGCACCAATGCACTTCCCAATTTAGTATATACAATCAAGAGAAATTTGCTCTCAAGATGCAGGAGGAAAACAAAATAAAACTCACCAGCCCGCGTGAACCTCAATCTTCACAGCGCGCCGGCTGAGCAGGGTTTTCTAGCACCATTTGAACTGTTTGTACATTGTTGCTTGAACTGTATTGTGTGTCCACAAGTTGAACTCTATAACAACCTCCAATTTTTACACTGTTTGAGCCGAGTCTTTTATATTTTTATATATATATATATATATATATGTATATATACACACACACAAATTAGCAGAGAACATGTCCTGAATGAGCTAACTATGAGATTCACACATCATTCAGATGCTGGTTCGCTCTCCATCGTATGGTACAACACCAAAAACACCTATAGTAGAGATATTCATCGAATCTTGATACACTAACACCAAACGTCCCTGTCGACTCGTTTGTGAACTCAGTAACTAAGTCTCTGGGTGAAAGGGTGTTTTTTTTTCTTTGTAAAGGGGACAACTTTCAAAATGACAAGACCTATAGAGCAGCCAGCAGAAATATCCATTTATCTAGCCAAACATTGTCTATACTGCTTTAAACAGGATTCTCTTACATATACATGACAGTGTTTCTCAGTCAAACATCTTTATTCGCCATAGAGCAGGGGTGCCCAAACTGGGTCCTGGAGGGCCGGTGTCCTGCAGAGTTGAGCTCCAACTTGCCTCAACACACCTGCCTTTAAGTTTCTAGTATGCCTAGTAAGAGCTTGATTAGCTGCTTCAGGTGTGTTTAATTGGGGTTAGAGCTAAACTCTTCAGGACACCGGCCCTCCAGGACCGAGTTTGGACACCCCTGCCATAGAGCATTAATGTTCTTCGTTTCATGCACGGTAATTCTTCCCCCTCCTGCGCGCGGTTCTCGCTCTGTGCGGTCGACCCAGCGACGGAACACCTGCGCGGGTCAGTCGTCCTCCAAGTCGTCGCCCTCCGACTCCTCTTCAGCTCTCCGTTCGTACACTTTATCTCTGTGCCGCTCCTGGATCTCCTTCATCTCCTCGGCGTAGCGGCAGAACGCTCCGCCGAACTTGCTCCACGCTTTGAAGGGTATCGTGATAGAGTTTCTGTAACTGGGCTTCACCTCGCTCACCCGCAGAAACACCCCGTACTTGTTGGAGCCCACGTCAAAGAAGAACCGCTTGGAGTCCACCGTGATTGACGTGCCCTCGGGGAGCTCCCCGTAACCTCCGGCGCAGCCGCCGCCGACCAGCTCCTCGTCGTCCCCGCCGTAGTCGTCGATCAGCTTGGCCAGGGCGTCGCGGAACTCGATGAGACCCTGAGCGGGAAGGGCAATGGTTTGCCCGGATTGCATGCCACCCCCGGGCACACCTCCTCCGACGCCAAAGCCACCAGGCCCGCGGTTGACGGTCTGACGGATCCGGAGGAACCTCCCCCGCTGGTTCTCCTTCAAATCGAGGTAGTATTTGCGGTTTTCCCTCACTAGGAACTCGCTCTTCAAGGCCCGTCTAGGCCCGCCGTCCTCGCCGCCGGAGGACTGAGCGATCTGCTCCGGGGAGCTGGGTCCGAGCTGGGCGTAGTGCTCAATGAAATCCCCCAGGTAGTCCCGAAACTCCGCCGCGACTGACATGGAGAGTGTCAAGCGACTTTTGGAGCCCCCAGCGCCGACCTCGGCGATTTTGATGAACCTGCCCTTCGAGTTTTGCTTCACGTCCAGATAGAAGCGCTTGTTTTGGATGTCAAGTCGTTTGGACGCCAGCTCCTGGGTCTCTTGATCCCTCTGGAAAGGCTGGAATCCGCTTCCTCCACCGCCACCGCCGCCGCCGCCGCTGCTGCTTCCACCTCGCTCACTCCCACTATCCCCATCCGCCATCTTCACCATCACCCAGAGCTGCGTTTTGTTTTCCCACCCGTATTTCATCAGGTCCCGCCTTCACGGCATGAGAACGTCGTATGAATGGCCCATTGCTCTGGAACGTCACCTCCTCAGGAACATCCGGGATTGGGCGTTTGACGTGTCAGTCATAAATCCGCTTCTCCAATTGGATCGCAGCCTGTCCGTTATGCGAGTAAACACCGAATCCTCATTCTCTTTGGCTCACTAGGACTGTCTGTCAAAGTGTAAAGCGCACCCTATTGTTTTGACAGTACCCTGGGCGATTGGTGTACAGCGGTGTCGATAACGTGTTAACACAAGCACTTTATTGCAGATAACACTTGGCCCTTCCAACGGTACACGGAGAATAATCCCTCAGTCAACCTTTTACCGTTTTCTAGCCATTTACATATACATGTAAGAACTTCTAAATAAAGTTGTCACAGAAAGTTTAGAGGAGAAAAAAAATATTGCGGAAAGGCTACACAAATACAGAAATGTTTACCTTCATGTTTATACATTGCCAGAAAAAAAGATACGCTGGCAACCTAACGCAAAGTAAATATTTTACAGATAATATTTAATAATTAGTTCTGGCCTTTAGTACAATGGTAGTATGAAGAGAATAATTTATTTACCGTACAACACGTTATTATATATAGCCTATATATATATATATATATATTTCATGCTAACTAGCACTTGCCTTTTTTACACATTGTATACATGTTTTTATGCACAGAAAATATACAAACGCGTTTATGTTTTCTCATAAGTAAGGGTGTCATATAAGAGGGTCCTTTACATTAAAAAAAAGTTTCAAAGTCCCTGACTTGGTGCAAATAAATTTCAGTTAGTGCATATAGTATTAATCCTCAGCGATTTATTATTAACCGAAAATGTTTTTACACTTGATTTGGCCTCGTGTAACATAATTACGATTGACAAAATTATAGTTTGATTAGAATTTTTATTTGGTTACATAATTCATCTTTAGTCATTTACATTACGACTTTTAAATGGAGGTTACGTGCTTTCTGTAAAATGTCAGGCAGTCACTGTTAAGTCCCGCCCACGTGCTATCCGTACATCGATGGGGGATGGTAGACGCAGATACATGCCGAATTCTCATAGGCCTTCCCGAAATTCGAACCAACAACAGACATTTTGATTGGCTAATTCCACCGATCGGTCTGCCTCGAGCGTTCGCTGCTGAACGGGCCGGGGTTTATTGTTCCTCCGAGTCAAGAGGCGAAATAGATTGTAGACAGACCTCCCCGGATCCCATTCAAAGTAATAATTTGCTGAAATGGTATGTAATGCTTCAATACTGTTCCGTATGACTGTTTTCTATAACTCGAAATGTCCCTCCTTTTTGTTTGAGCTTATTTTGTCGTCTTTTTAAAGATTCTGCCCTAGCTCTGAGCTAACGCTGGCTGGATTTTGCTCTTGCTAGCTCGCGGGAGTAGCTCGTGCTAATAGCCGTTTAGTAGTTACTCGTAATTTAATCACGACGTATGTGGTCCCTGCTTAAATGATTCGCGCATTGAGCCTGACTATCGTTTTGATTTGAACGGTTTTGTTGATAGACGTCGCAGCTGTTGTGACATTTCTCCAAGCAGGATAGCTAACGTTAAGCTAAACTCTATCCATTAGCGGCAGTGTGGAGCTCGCGCTGATCAGTTCATATAAACTTTATTTACTGTAACTGTACAGTTCTTCAGAGACCACCGACTCCTGAGAATTGCGTTATGATTTTTTTTGTGTGTGTGTGTGTGTGTGTGCGCAGGTTAATGTCAGAAACACTGATAAACTGTATCGTAAGTTTAGCGTGGCAGGCAGGCAGTCATATGAGCGGGAGATTTACGTTACCTGCTTTAACATGCTGTTAATCGACTCATTGGCCTTCATTGAAGTGGCAGATGGCATTGCTGAAAGTTTTTAGGTTAACTTTAATTCATTTGAAGGAAAAGCAGGATCCCATACCTACTGGGCGGGAACAGTGCAAAGTGTCAAGAGAAGTGGAGTATTTTCTCCAAAACCCGCATTTTTTGTTGTTGTAGAGCTAAAGTATTCGGGTAGTTAGTTACTTATGAGTAATACATTAAAAATACATGTTTTGATGACTTGCACAATAGTAGACACACTTAACTATAACACGCAGTTACATATATATTATTTTTACATGTAAAGAAAAAAAAGCATTATTTTGTGTAAATATATACTGTGTAAATTATTTAATATTCTGCAATATTAAATTTGCGTGAAATTAAATTGCATGTAAGTGTGAATTAAATTGACATGTGGCCAAGTATGGTGACCCATACTTGGAATTAGTGCTCTGCATTTAACCCATCCAAAGTGCACACACACAGTAGTGAACACACACACACCCGGAGCAGTGGGCAGCCATATTGCTGCGGCGCCCGGGGAGCAGTTGGGGGTCCGGTGCCTTGCTCAAGGGCACCTCAGTCGTGGTATTGAAGGTGGGAGAGAGCGCTGTACATTCACTCCCCCCACCTACAATCCCTGCCGGTACGAGACTCGAACCCCCAACCTTTGAGTTACGAGTCCGACTCTCTAACCATTAGGCCCCCGGAAATTTTGTACATATAAAAATGAAATGTAAAAGATACACTATGCATTTTAGTTATATTGTTACATATCAAATATTATGCATTATATAATATATTGTTACATATCAAAATTACTTGTTACATTAAATGTTAAAGGAAATTAAGTTTTGTTAGTAAAAATTGTATATATTCTGCAAATGTTATTTTTTACATAATTGTACATTTATTTTTTATGTAATTTAATTTTTCTATATGAATTGTAACTTTTACATATAGAAATTAAGTATTACATATTTAATTTTTATATGTGAAATGCATTGTTTTATTTTTCAGTATGCTTTAAATATGCTGAAGGAAATACAAATAGTCTCATACTGTTATTGATTATTCTGATTGTTTTGTGCACTGAAATGCTTGAATATGTTTGTATCTGAGTCTATGTATCGTTTTGTAGGCTGGAGGAAAGGCAGGTAAAGACAGTGGCAAGGCCAAGGCAAAAGCAGTGTCTCGCTCACAAAGGGCTGGACTTCAGGTAAGCCTCTTTTATTTTTTATTTATTTTTTTTTTCTGTGCTGGTTTTACCTTGTTTAAATGACCATTTTTTTTTAGATATCCTTCAGTCAGATGGGTGTAGTTGAGGAATTTGTTAGGTCACAATTGTCACAATTTCGGATACTACTTTCTAAGGGAATGCATATCTGAAATTTGTAGTTCCCAGTGGGTCGTATCCACAGGCACTTGAAGACCCGCACTACAAGCCATGGTCGTGTAGGAGCAACAGCAGCCGTCTACAGTGCAGCCATCCTTGAATATCTCACAGCTGAAGTAAGATTCTGTGCCACTCACTTTCAATACTGCAAAGCAAATTAATGCAGATTTGCAGCACGCTACTAATCGTGTTTAATTCTTGTCGTAGGTTTTGGAGTTGGCAGGAAATGCTTCAAAAGATCTGAAGGTGAAGCGTATTACTCCTCGCCATCTACAACTGGCCATTCGTGGAGACGAGGAGTTGGACTCCCTCATCAAGGCAACCATTGCTGGTGGTGGTATGTTGGAGTTTAATTTATTTTGTGCTGGTTGCAAAAATGCTGCTCTCTTGACAAATGAGGATTTTAAGCACTTGTATGTTTGCTGACTTCTTGCAGGTGTGATTCCTCACATCCATAAGTCCCTGATTGGTAAGAAGGGCCAGCAGAAGACTGTGTAATTCCTGTTGGGGTCGCTATGCTGACATGGACTCAAGAACTTGCGTTTGGGATGTGTGACCAGATCGGCTTGTTCATGTTCATCCATTCTCTTTTTTTTTTTTTAAGTTAATATTAATGTTATACTAGCTAACCACAAGTGATTTGTAGAGTTTTGTGTTAATGTTATATCGCCAAAACTAGAATGGCAAATAAGCCCCGCCCCCCTCAACCCAAATGTCAGGTATTTTAGAGAGAGACAAACAGGAAGTGTCTGATCTTTCCTGCTGTGGCAGTGGAATTGTTTGAATTGGCCAGACCTATGGAGCTGTTTTATACTGAAAAATGGAAATAATAAAAACATTTTATACAAAAAAGTTATTTGTTCTTTTGTATTGTCTGCCTTGGTCTTCCATATTTAAAATATATCTTAATGTTTGTGGGTGACGATGTGAACCAGGATTGTGTTATGTGCAATCACATTTAAACATATATTTATAGAGAGAGAGCGATAAATACACTTCAGCATACATATCTATATAAAAAAAGTAATTTGTATATAAAATATTTTAATAAAAGTTCTCATGTCCACTTGTTTAGAGCTTGTTAGTAGTAGGATATGTATGGAAATAATTTACTTTAAAGGGGTCATATGATGCTGCTAAAAAGAACATTATTTGGTGTAATGAAATGTGGTTTAAGGTTCAAAAACACATTATTTTCCACATACTGTACATTATTGTTTCTCTTCTATTTCCCGCCTTTCTGAAACGTGTGGATTTACAAAGCTCATCGGTCTGAAAAGCAAGGTGTGCTCTGATTGGCCAGTTATCCAGTGCGTTGTGATTGGCCGAATACCTCAAGCGTGTGACGGAAATGTTACGCCCCTCACCATACTGTGATGCCGTGTCCGGCCGAAACGACGAGACAAAAACATTAAAACCCATTATAAACGAGGCATTTGTTGCATCCAGAGGGGACATAATTACGGATTATGACTTTCCATAAAATGTGCTGCACACATCTGAATATTTGGGTTGAACTGTTCTGGAACAGTGTTGTAAATACAACTTAACCACTGATTTCTAGTTGGAAGACCAAACAAAGTAGTTTTGCTTTCACAACGAAACACACAGCGTCACACACGGCGGGCTAGAGTGAGCGGAGGCCGACAGCGCAAAGTTGTTGTATTTCCTCAGCGACCAGCACGGATCATCCTCTATCGTCCTCTTTTGGAAGGCCAAACAAAGTAGTTTCGCTTTCAGAATGAAACACGCGGCAACAACAATACTACAGCGAGAATAAAAGTTACGCCTTCTTTGTTTGCGTGAACATTTGGGCGGCGTAATGCAAATCTTCCCACATCGTGACGTAGACATGTGGGGGCGTGTTAGAATGAGCCGTTTTAGGTAGGCGTGGTTGACTCTTTTATAAAGAATATCTCTTTGGATTTGAGAATTTATTCTTTGCAACTTTACAGATCGTCTTTATGCACCAAGAGCTTGTAACACTCCAAAGAGAAAGGAAAAATTTAAATAGCATCAATGACCCCTTTAAAATAATTTACTTGTGTGAAATGAATTTTTTTTTTCAGACACTTAGTTTCATGTTATTTACAATTAAACGAAAATGTGTTCAAATTTGTTGAATACAAGTAGTTACTCTGTACAAGTACTTCTTGGCATATAAGCGCACCTTTACATGTACAGTTATTTTGTTTTTGAAATATAAAGTACTCATTTAATTCAATTAAGCACATTAAATTCTGAATTTTAAACCACCGGATCGTCCGACAATGTAATCAACGATTCCAACACTTTTTCATTTTATATAGATTTCCCTCCTGTTTTCATATTATTTTTCTATGAGTAATGTCGTCACAAAGTGTGGACATTAGGTGGCGATCGAAGACCACATAATCGCGAGTCGGTTTGCATGCTCTCTTAGAGATTTTAAATATCCTGTTTGCGTGTGGGAGGATATACTTGTGATTCTAAAATAAATAAATAACATGCATTAAAAAAAAATCATAATTCACTTCACCGTGCATTAAAAAAAGACATTTTGATGACAGCCACTCGTGTGTGCAGTTGACAGGCTTAGATGCAGCCAACCAGCTAAGTTTGAATATAATACAGTGTTGTTCTTGTGTGCACCTGTCTTAGTTAAAGCATATTTCACTCTGAAATACACTGACGCGTTTAACAGTAAATCCTCCAAGTGGGTTCTTCTGGATTTTCTGCATAACCTTGAGTATGTTTACACACGGTCAGACTCCAGTCATGATAGAGAACTGGCGGATGCACAAGCTCCGATTTATTGCCTACCTAATATCATTTGACCACACTAACCTAGGTACCAAATTAATCTAAAGGAAGTCTTTGTAGCATCACAAAACTAAAAACATTCATACAGATGCAGAATGATGGTTTTAAATGTCCTATACAGCTGCAGCAAGGGTAATATCGTTTGTGTGTGCATGTGTGTGTTAGACCTCACTGTTCTGCTGCGTCATGTTGCATATTAGATCTGCAGTCAATCTGTGTGTGCGTGAAAGACTGAACAGTTTTAACCTGGGAATTAAAACAAGATCTCACACACGACTGCAGGCTTTGAGTTATGGGACATCTGCAATGCAGAAGCCTATATATAGCAGAGAGATGGAGGAGAGCGAGGGAGGGAGGGGGCTGAGGACAAGATACAATATTATCAATGGAAAAGTTGCCAGTCCCACAAATATTATTCAGTACTGCAGGTTTTTAGTGCTTCTTTGAAGTTCTATTTTAAGATAGCAGTCCAGAGTCATTGCATATTTTTTGTTATAATGCATAATGAGTTTTAAAAGGTGATTAAAACATATACATATATGTCACAAAATCAAAGTATTAATATGAAAATTGTGCATATCATTTTTTAAGAATAATTAATAATAAATGTTCTTATCATGTGCCCTTGTGTTTAGTGCTTAGTTTCCTGCATTACTTCAGCAATGAATAAATATGTCATTATTATTTATTATTTTGCTCTACATTTGAATGTATAATCATAACCATTAATGTTCACTGAGATTATTTCTGGCACATAATCATTGCTGAGATGAAGCCGTCTTTTAATAATTTAACTGATTAAATATTTCAGGACTTCTTTTAGCAGGAAATGGATATGCTTAGAGTACTCTACATTTGAGTTGGTGGTTGACCATCTGCAATATATATTCACCATACAATGCGTGATGTGGTAAAATATTTTTAAGTAATGACCATTAAACTGTATTTGTGTTGTGCCAGTTTCTTCTTGCATTAAGAAATCACTTAAACAAATCAATAATTCCATGTATTTACATTTTTATTCCAGAAAATAGCCATAGAAGTCAGATAATGTGCAGTCTGTCGGTCATTGCGACAAAACAATGACAATGATATCCCTTATTTAGAGTACTGTTAAAAATGTTGGGGTCAGTAAGATATTTTTAATGTGTTTGAAAGAAGTCTCTTATGCTCATCAAGACTAAATTTATATTATTACATTTATAAAATGTTGTAAAAGAATTTAAAACAACTGTTTTCTATTTGAATGTATTTTTAAAATAGAACTTATTGCTGTCACATCAAAGCTGAATTTTCAGCATCATTACTCCAGTCTTCATTGTCAAATGATTCTTCAGAAATTATTCTAATGTTTATTTTCCGCTCAAGAAACATCTCTTCTCATTTTATTGTTGTTGAAAACAGTTGTGCTGTTTAAAATGTTTTATGGAAACTGTGATACAATTTTTGATGAATGGAAAGTTCACAAGAACATCATTTATTTGAAATAGAAATCTAACATTACAAACGTCTTTACTGTCACTTTTGATCAATTTAATGCATCCTTGCAGAGTGAAAGTTAAAAATAATAATAATAATAGTAAAAATCTTACTGACCCCAAACATTTGAACAGTATTGTATGCTATTTGTGTGTATGCATTTACTGTACATGAATGTGTTAAGTAGACTATATCAGAACTACCCAACTACAGCGCACTAAAGTTTCAATGCAAATCATTCAAAGTTCTAAAGTCATTATCATTCTGTATGACTCTCTCAGAGGTAAATGAGAGGAATCTCATATGGAATAGCCAAATAATGAGAATCACCCACTGTCACAGATTTTGATGTGATTGATTCCCAAAGCATTACATTTTGGAGTTGCTCTGGATTCGTCCAGCCAAGAACAGGAGATGTGCCGTCAGCAGAACGGGTGTTTGCTAGATGCATAATTTATAAGCTCTGTCTAGTCTCCCCTCATAGGATATTCAGTAATAAAATACACCTCAGTCTAAAGCCTACAAAAAAAAAAAAAACCTAAAACCTTTCATGCTAACTGCCCTCCCTCTAAATCTGATTATCCATTCATCCATTCCTACTAAATAAGAATGTACACACAGAATAAACCATGGTACTGAATGATTACCATATTTTAGTGCTGTCAAACGATTAATCGCATCCAAAATAAAAACATTTGTTTACACAATATGTGTGTATACTGTGCATATTTATTATCCATAAAAGCATGACATTAATATAGCATTATGTTCTAAAAAATATATGGTACTTTCTGGTTCTTTTTTATAGCCTTCATTCAGTTGTTTGTTCATCCCCTTCAGTCAGTTAAAGGGTTAGTTCACCCAAAAATGGAAATTAGGCCATACATTTCTCACCCTCAAGGCATCCTAGGTGTATATGATTTTCTTCTTTCAGACGAATCCAGTCGGAGTTATATTAAAAATAGTCTTTGAGCTTTCAAGCTGTTTAATGGCACTCAGCGGGTGTTGCAGTGCTTCAGTCCAAAAGAAGTGAAATAAAAAGCGCCCCTCCATTTAAAAAAAGTGTCTCACACGGCTCCGGGGGGTGAACAAAGGCCTCCTGTAGCGAATCAATGCAATTTGTAAGAAAAAGATCCATATTCAAAACGTAATAATCACTTTAATGTAGCTTGCGCTCACTGTTGTACATTGGAAGCAGTTCCGGGTGGATGACGTATGAGGTCAGCATTGCACATGCGCCGTTGAGTCTCAGCTTGTGTGATAAACCAAATAAAAGAGAATTACAGTAGTCGATGCGAGAGGTGACAAGTGAGTGAACTAGAATGGCAGTACTGTGGGGAGTGAGAGATGAATGAAGGCGAGCAATATTATGGAGATGAAAGTAACAAGACCGGG